TTCCCATGGAATGAAGTGTAATCACTGGTGAGTTAGATGTGAAACAGCAAAGATGAGGACAATAGTCCAAATACAAATAGTGTAAATATTGGTAACTATAGTTCAAGCCCAAGTACATATATTTACTTATTTACAGGTGTGCATTAATAGATACATCATTCCAATTTATTTCATGCAGGTATCATCAATTTATGATTTCAATATTGAGTTGTGCTGGCCTCTGCATGAACTCTTACAAACATCAGTGTATTGAGCTTAAATCTACATGAACTATATCACAAACTGGAGTTGCTGTCACAAAAACTAGTCAAGGATAGTTTATGTTATTTTCAATAACAGCAATAGAATTTTTCGGAAACTGTTTTTAATTCTTTTATACTGATTACATTACCCTTAATAAATAAATCCCTTAAATCTTAAGGAAAATTCCCCTTAATTAGACCTTTATAGACTGATGCTACACAATCACAAACAAAAAGCATTACCAAATAACAAAAACCATATCACTTGAATACTTCCAACAGCAGCAACAACAAAAATGGATAGCAGATATAACTAAAAGAGAAAATAATAATATAATCAATCTGTTAACTTTCCACATGACCAAAAACAAAAGGTTTGGAAGGAAACTATAACTACAGAATGAACTCTTCCTAACACTATGTATACTATGCCTCTCAAGAGAGAGGGTCGAATCAAGTCGAGCCGATAGTAGTTCACTCCAAACCAGACTGACAGTCATACTAACACCTTCCACATCTTGTATTATTATTTCATGTAATATACCTTTGTTATTTCTACTCTTGTGTTCGTGTTGTTCTTCCTTTGTCCTAACCTGGACCATAACAATATCAGAAAGAATGATAACAGTCGGCTTAAGAAGTCTAATTTCTTGAAAAACTTCTTTAATAAAAAGATTTTATAAATTCCAACTGACAAGAATGCTGTTTGGTCACTGAATGCCCATAGTTTCCTGTATGGAAATGGCTGTTTTATTACCATGTTACTGAGAATTGATGCACATAGTGTGGAACAAGGTCCCCAAAAAGTTTGCTGGACAATCTCTTCACAGATGAAGAAGAGACTTGAAGCAACAAAAATGTGTTTTTACAGAAGGATGCTGAGAATACCATGGTCCAAGCATGTGAGCAATGACAAAGTTTTAGAGAAAATGGAAACAAAAAGGACACATACTTAACATCAGGAAGAGAGAGTGGAAATTTCTAGGAGACATAATAAGGAAAGAGGACTTGGCAAATTTGATACACACATGATGGGGAAGAGGATTTTGAGGAAAATAATGCATGACCTACATAGCGAGCTGGAGCAAATGGATGGCAGAATAAGGGTTAGAAGAGATAACAAAAAGACAAAATTTATTAAGTGCTACAAAGGACAGGAAATTGTGGAGAGCCATGATTGCCAGTGTCTTGAATGGCACACAGAAGAAAAAGAAGAAAAGTATTTCTTGAAAAACTAATTCAAGAAAAAGATTTTTTATAAATTTCAACTGGCAGTAACACTAACTGTTCAGTCAATGAATGCCTAATGTTTCCTGTATGGAAACGGCTATTCTCAGCATTACAAATGCAAACTTGAATCTTGGTGACTCCAATGAAACCACAAGTACATCTACTTGCTTATTTATAGACATGCATTGACAGACGTGAATTCTTTCCTTTTTTTTATTATCAAGATTATTATCTTGAAGCTAAACCTCAATTCTGTGGCTACAGTATTTTGTTGGCACCAAAGCCAAATTCTACAAGGAAATAATCATCTTGTATCAGAGATATTTAATAATCTCAGCACAAATTCCATTGACTCACATTACTTGCATATATATATATATATATATATATATATATATATAGAGAGAGAGAGAGAGAGAGAGAGAGAGAGAGAGGGAATAGAGAGATAGATATAGTTGGAGAGAGAGAGAGATCTATATAAAATAAAATATGTAATCTCTAATATACATGCATATATACTTTTACTTTCTTATGTACACATTCATATAAATATATTAGGCACCTCATTTTAATGTAATTGTTAATAAGGTAATCTAGCAAATTATGAGATGTGTGCTCAATCCTCACTGGGTGTGGATGGTTTTGTGCCCCAAATAAGTTATGCTTTGGAAATACCTGCATATAGACAAATTTCTCCATGTATACAGCTTGGATGAAGATATGAGTGAAAAGAAATAGGGAGATAGATAGATAAATAGAAGAAGGGGAGGAGTGAAAGAGAAATAAATAAAGAGAGTGAACAGGAGAAAAAGAAAATGTAAAAGAAAGAATGAAGTCTAAAGTGAAAGAGCAAAAGAGAGAAAATAAATATAAACAGAGGAAAAGTGAAAAAAAAAAAAGAAGAAAGCAATAAAGAAATAAAGATAGAGTGATATATAGAGATAAAGAAATAGAAAGAAAAAAAGAAAGAAAGAAATTGTTTAAGAGTGAGGGAAAGAGAAAGCTAGAGAGGGAGGATGAAAGAGATAAAAATGAAGAATAAGGGAAAAGGACAAGGAAAAAAGAAAAAGGAAGAAAGATAACTAGAGTGAAAGAGAGAAAGCAAAATTGAAAGATAAATAAAGAAATAAAGAGAGAACAAAAGAGAAAAATGATAGTGCTAATGAATGAAAGAGAAAAAAATAAAAATATATATATATAGAGAGAGAAAGATAACAAGGGAAAAAACCAATGACAGAAACAAAAGCAAAAAAGGAACAGGTGAGAGTAAGAAAGCAAAAAAGAAACAGTGAAAAACTTTGAAAGAGAGAACAAGAGACACAGACAAAGAAAGAGAAAAGGTGTGAGAGAAAGAGAAACCAAAAAAGGAAACTAAAAAGAGGGAGAACATGAGAAAAAGGGCAAGAAATGGAAGAATGAAACTGTTACAGACTGAGACAGAGAGAAAGCAAGGGTAAAAGGGAAAAATATGGAAAGAGAGAGAGAGAGAACAAACGAAAAAGATAAAGGAAAAATTAAAAACAGCTAAAGAGAGAAAAATAAAAAAATAAAATATTTATAGAGAGATAATAAGAGAATATAGGTAAAGAAAGAAAGGCAAGCAGGCAGGCAGGCTAAAAGATGAGAAAAAAAGAAGCAAAAGTATGAGAGAAAAAAATTGAAAGAGAAGAAAGAATACATAGAGAGAGAACAGAAGAATAGGAATGGAAGAAAGAAAGAAAACAGCAGTAAAGAAAGAAAGAAAGAAAGAAAGAAAGAAAGAAAGAAAAAGAAAGAAAGAAAGAAAGAAAGGCAAGGTGAAAGAAAGAAAAAAGATTATAAAGTGTGAGAGAGAGAAAGTGAAATTGAAGAAAAGATGCATGGTGGAATAACATGGGGAGAAGAAAAAGAAAGGAAGGAAGGAAAGAAGGGATTGCAGAAGTGGGAGAGAGGTAGGGTGAAAGTGTGAGGGAGAGAATAAGTGAAAGAAGAACAGATGCATGAAGAGATAACAAGAGAATAGAGGAAAAGGAAGAAAAATAGACAGGCTAAAGATTAAGAGAGAGAGAAAGAGAAAAAGCAAGAATAAAAGAGAGAGATAAAGGAAAATAAGCAGAGCGTACTCCTTTATTTTGTAATGATATTTGATTCTTGTAACATTTGTCAAATGAAAACTCTTGCCTGCACATGTTTCTGTTCTGCCATGTTGAGAAGCCAAAGTGCACAACAACAAAATATGCACAAATTGCCTTCAAAGAACCAAAACATTTGTCACTGTTTGTGCATCTTGTTACTTTCTAAATGCCTTGTGCCAGTCAAGTGCCCCTAATTCTGTTTGTGGTGCGTCATATGTAAATCTGACCAAAAATCAAAATCTGTGCAACAGTAAGCGGAGATCAGGGGTAGGAGAGAGGCTTAGACTGCAATTCCCTGCCTGCCATGTTGCCATAGAGCAGAGATTGCATTTCACATTAATAATATTTTTCAGGCTGCAGGATTCAGAAGCACTGAATGTTTCCCTTTCACAAATACGTATTACAATTTCTCCACAAAGGCTGTTTCTTTAGAAGTCATTATGCAGGAATTGCTAGCTTAAATGGCATACAAATCCAGTCAAAGGACACAGTGCTGAACACAAACATCTTTCCAAATTTTGACAATATCTACTGTTTAAAACTATGAACTACAACAAGTATTTTATGAATGATTTGGATTATTATCATCATCATCATCATTTTGCTTAAGAAAATTTGATTTCCTCACACCCATATTCCACAAACCCATTTTTCTTATTTTATCTCATAGACCCAACATCTCAATGAATGAAATTAATACACCCCATTTTTTTTTATTTTGCTACCAGAAACTTCATAACCAGAAGGGAAACAGAATTTTTATGCAGATAAGATCATTTAATTACTGAAATAAATATGCACATTTAAAGTATGTTATATATATATATATATACACACAGGTGCACACACACACACATATATATATATATCAATATATATAAAAGTGAACATTGAAGTCAACACTCAGACAAGGTGGCCTGATGATTGTGTTTAGCATGAAACAGTCTGTTGCCTCAGAGTGTTGACTTCAATGTTCACTTTTATATATACATACACTCTATCTCTGATATTGAGCACTTGATCCCATAATATAGCATACCTTAAAACTATTTCTTCCGATATATATATATATATATATATATATATATATATATATATATATCACACAAAGAGTGGTGGTGCTAACAAAATAGTGCTTGATATATAATAACAGAGTTATAATTTATATTAATAATAAATATACATTTTTTCTTCACCAGTAGCACAACTCTGAATTTCATGCACAACACAATCATCAGGTTCTGACTGAAATCATATATATATATATATATATATATATATATGTAATATTGCTGAGGAATAATATATATATTTATTGATATATGCTTAATGCTTTAACTTCAGTGATTGTATAATTATATATATATATATATATATATATATATATATATATATATATATATATATATAAGGCTTATGGCCATATCATGTTCAAACAGCGGTTGTCATAGAATCACTGAAGTTAAGCAGCATCGAGCCTTGTAAGTACCTAGATGGGTGACTGCTTGGGAATACCAGGGCTTGTAAGCTTGGTTGTGATGGATTACAGCTCAGAATTGGAAATTGGAGAGCCAAGTTTCAATTCCAATCAGGTTTATTATATTCACTTATGTGCAAACCCCCTTAATAAAGTTAGGAATCCACCTCTACTTCACCTGCTGTTATGAATTAATTAGAACAACTTATTTCAGTAAAAATCATTATTATCTCCAAAAAATTGTTACAATCTAAAAAAATATTTTCTGGCTTTAAATGACCTGCAAAAGGTTGATAAGCCATAAAAAACAATCAATATATATATATTTTACTAGGATTCTCTCAAGTTAAAATATCTGGTGAGTATTGTATCAATAGAAGGATTTAGCTGGCTGGATTGTTAGCTCAATGCAGGCTAACTGGGTGGTGAGGTTGCCACCTTGATAACCAACCAGGTTGTGATCTGCCCATCAACAAGTCATGGGTGGCACTGGTGCAAGTTTGGCTGATGCAATTGCCTTTCACTAGTTGGGGAATCCCTGATTGGCTGCCCTCACATAGTTTGGTCAGCAGGTCAATGTTGTCTGGGGTGTGCCTGCCATCACACCAAACACTTTCAAGAAGCCATGCATGAGGACTGAATGGCAGGTAGACTGCTGCAGCCAAGCTAATTGAGCAAGTTGCAAAGATAACACCACTCTACCTCATGCCATACAATCCATTTTTTAACTGGACATCCCTTTGAAAAATTGGACCCATGGCTTTGAATGACAGATAACAACTTATAGACAACAGACTACACCTACAACATGGCATACACACCAAAACATCCTCACTCTGCTCACAACTGGTGCAGCCAACCTTCTCTCCTGTGTGTTCTCCACCTACAACATTAACATCATTAGTCTTCTCTGCAAGGTTCGTTGGGCAAGCAGCAAGTGTTCTGCCAGGGATCATGTATTCTTCTTGATATTTTTTTTATAAGCAATGTAGAATTTGAACCAATTCTGAGGTTGCTTAATTTTTGTGAAGTTGTAGGGAATTTGCTTAAGTTCTTTTCATACTTGGATCAAATAACGAGAAAAGTAAAACATTTCAATTTTGGAGAAAATACCGAGAAGGAATATCAGTAAATAATCAACATACAATAAATAATTTACCAATTTCATATCACTGATATTTGTAAAGGCCAATACTTATGAATGTAAGATGCAAATATTTGCAAATGATCTAATCTTGTATTGCACAATCACTTTCAACATTTGTCATATTTATCATGCAATTAAAATGTGCAAATAGAGCCAATTTTTATGCATACTGAAATTATGCCAACTCTTCAAGAATTAAACACACCCATACCACACTGATGCTGAGAGGGAATCACTTATTATTTATTATTACTTATCACTTTTATTATTAATTATTATTATATTATTATATTTATTATATATTATATATATATATGTATATTTATATATATATATATATTTTAAAATATATAAATAAAATATATAAAATATATTTATATATATTATATGTTATATATATTATATATTATTATATTATTATTATTATTATAAATTCTATTATTTATTATTATTTTTATTATTATTAATTATCACTTATTACTTATTATTATTACTTAATGCCCATACAACATGACTGATGCATGCATGCAAATATATCCGTACATGTAAAATGAACACGTGACATCAATATAACAAATGATAACAAAAGCACATAGAATTTTAAAATAGAAGCGACACAACATTATTCCATTTCCCAAATTTCTGATGAAGCTAAACAAATAGCAAAACATGTAAAATTTATAAAAGATTTCCTACTTGTTCCTTATTTAATTATTCTGCTGGATTTAATCAACTTATTTCAATGTAATTAAACTATGCTAACAGTTTCTTCTTTCACACCTCTCACTTGTGGAACTCTCTTATGATCTTTTACTTTCCATTAAACTTTTTATTGTTCTCTCTTCTTAATGTTTTTATTTTTCTCTTATGTTTTCACATTCAATAACTTATTTTGTCCTAGTGACTATAAAGTCACTAAGACAAAATACCTTGCTTCAGATGAAATGATTAAAAAAAATTACAATTGCTAGATTTTTCTTGAGTACATTATAGAATAATGTATTTAATAATTCTTTTTGTTTAATTTGATGTTTTGGTGGCGGGGGGAGTGGCTTAAGCCACACTTATATGCAGAGTGAAGTTGCTGAGGTTTAATCAAATTATATAAAAGTTTGCTCGGTTTAAGGAACCATATTTGTTTAAAACATAACTAAGCCTTACAATTTTGATATCCTTTGATGATTATACTCAATAACGAGGTAGCAGCCATCGCACACACACACACACATGTTGAAATTGGGATCAAATACAGATCAAATATGGATCAGGATCTGACAGAATGATAAGATAAAGAACAAATAAGAAACATTTATCTAACATGTTTCACTTTTATTAAAGCTTCATCAGGATATATATATATATATATATATATATATATATATATATATATATATAAATAAACTTTAAAGAAAATTATATATAATTTGATTAGGAAATAGTTCCTTTACAAGTAAAAATTTTCTGATGAAGTTTGAATAAAAATAAAAATGTTAAATTTATCAATGATCCTTATTTCTTTGTTCATATTCAATCTGTTATATATATATATATATATATATATATATATATATATATATATATATATATATATATATATATATATGATAAAAATATAGTTTTAAGGTATGCTATATTTATGGGTAAAACTGCTCGATATCAGGCATAGAGTGTATATAAATATAAAAGTGTATACTGAGGTCAACACTGACAGGTGACAGTCTTTTTCATGCTAGAAACAGACTGTCACCACTCTGTGTTGACCTCAGTGTCCACTTTTATACATACATATGTTTTATTACGGATACTGACCATTTTACCAATAAATATACCACACCTTAAAACTATATTCTTATCATAAAAAATAACAATCTCCTGAATATATATATATATATATATATATATATATATATATATATATATATATATATATGAATGTAATGAGAACAAAAAATGGTATAAACTCTAACGTTCACAGCATTAGTTCAAATATATATATATATAATGTGCGTGTATTTATATTTGTGTAAATAGGCAGTAAATTTTCTTTTAGGAATGTCTGAATGAATAAATTACAAACAATATGTCTGTTTATTATATATATATATATATATATATATATATATAATATTCAGGAAGCTATTGTTCTTTAAAACATTAGTTGTTAAAAACAATAGACATTTTATGATCTTTTTTCTGATGTATGAATATCCTTTCACAATGTGGTTGTTGTATGCGTATAACTTAACCAAAATTCATATCGTGTAATCTAAGCTTTCAAATCACATGAGTCATTACCAGGAGTGTGAATAAGAAAGGAAAATTAAGTGTGGTTTAAGAAGTAGATCATATCATTATTTTTGAAAGTGTTGTTATATTTTTTTTCAAATGCAACTAAATGCAGTTAATTATGTGACAGCAATATGCAGTAACATTTAATAATTTATTTCTTTTATATGCATTCAAGAACACAGATTCTCATACGAGGGTTATCCAGAGCAAGCTTTGCAAAAGTTTATTGCCATATTAAAAAAAATATATAATTAAATTTAATAGATATAAAATTCTGTTATTTTTAACATTATATATATATATATATATATATATATATAAATAAAATATATATATATATATATATATATATATATATATATATATATGTATATATAAATAATATATATATATATGTATATATAAATAATATATATATATATATATATATATATATATAAATATATATATATATATATATATATATATATATATATATATATATATATATAAATAAAAAAAAAGAAATAGTAAGATAAAATCTGGTGTTCTTATAGATATTTCTATTTTTACAAAATAGTGCTCAATGTAAATTTACAGAGCATTAATATTATAAATTAATTGATTTAAAATATGTTTTTTATATGAATTTTACCAATTCGCTTGAGGATGAAATGGAACTAATGTCTTTAATTTAATTACAAAATTAAATTCGAAGCTTTCAGCTTCTATTTTTGAAACATGGTTAGAACTGTGTAGTGAAAAAAAACATATTTTAAATCAATTAATTTGTAATATATATATATATATATATATATATATATATATATATATATATATATATATAGAAAGAGAGTGTATCAAAAAAAATTCTTTTACAAACTTAGGGAGTGAGTTCCACACATCAAAACAAGGATGAAAATCCACATAAACATATGTGCATAAATCCTTTATTTTTGAGTTATTAAGTTTAAAGTTTATGATAGACACTGTTAAATGTACATGCCAAGATAAAATCAAAAATATTTATTAGTATAGTTTTATAGTGACACAGATGCTGTCTCAACAATATGATAATAAACAACAGCAAAGGTTAGATGACTCGGCTGCCTTCAGTCTGGAAACGCAATCTGATACAACTGTGCAGCCTCGTGTCCATTACCATTTGCACGGCTGTATGTGAAAATCATATCTGCCTGCTCATGATATGAGTATCCTGCTATTGTTAAACAGAACACTTCTCAGTTAACTCACTACTACACATGTTAAAGGTTGAAGACATAGAGGTCACAAATGTACATGAATAACAAATGTCACTTAGTCTACATGGCAACACAGCAACATGTACCATAAACTTTCTTTAAACTTAATAACTCAAAAATAAAGGATTTGCAAACATATGTTTATACGGACTTTTGTCCTTGTTTAGTGTGAGGAACCTACCCCCAAAGTTTGTAAAAGTACTTTTGACACACCCAGTATATATATTCAATAAATTTAAAAAAGTTCACATGACTTCTCTGGTTAACCGTCTCATGAGTTTTATATTGAAACATAAAATTCTCATGATTTTCACATATTTTCTCAGTAGTAATATTATAATAATAATAATAATAATAATAATAATAATAATT